TTCGAACTGCGAATTATAAAATTAAATATGCTTCAAAACTTGAAGTAGGGATAGGCAAGTTATCTAGATAATCAGCTGGTTCTAACGTATAATACTGTATTATCAACCCTTTCGCGAACACAGCCTATTGCCTTGGCTACTATGGTATACAAAGTTAGCATGTTAATATATGAAGTGGGGCATTTTGACCCCCTTCATAGAACACGGTATTTGTCTGATCACAGCGTTTCTGCCCAGATGGCAATTGGGAGGGATAGGTCACTCAAGTAGGGAATTTTGACCCCGGGGTGCCTTGATTCGCCCCTTAGCCGGGATTAGATTTTCAGCGACTTCGTCCAAGTGCTCCCTAGGGGTAATACCTGCACCGAGGATAGCAACTAACCCATCTTCATCGCGCTGCACACGGCGTAGTTCCAGAGTCCACTCCGACAATTCTAAACCCCACTTGAGGTGACGGCCATCGGCGGAATTTGACTTCAATAACCACTTCAAGACCGAGTACCGGGTATAGATTATGATTGGTGTCTCTGAACCGTAGATGAGCGGACGGAATTGCTCTAAGACTCGCAGAATCGCCAACACCTCCTTCTCCGCGATGTGGTATCTGAGTTCAGACTCGTTCAAAACCCGCCCTGTAAAGCGTACTGGTTGAATGATCCCTTCATGTTCCTGTCCGAGGACGGCACAAGCCGCCCAGGGATTTGCATGTGGAATGATGACAAACGGCTTGGTACAATCTGGATGGCGCAGTAACGGCGTTGATGTAATCTTACGTTTCAGAATCTCGAACGCTTCCTTGGCCTTATCCAAATCGCGTTCGGCACGAATGCGATCCTCATCCAGCTCGTAAAGCACAGCCGCGACAACAGGTAAATCCTCGATAAAGTTGTTGTAGTAATTCAAACTTCCCAAGAACGATTGAACGCCCTTCAGGGTCGATGGGAAAGGTAGGTCTTGAACATTCTTGGCGATCTTCGGGGTAGCCCTGATACCTTAGGCACAGCCTTCGTGAGACAGATACGGTATAGCTTGTTTGCCGAACTCGCTCTTCGGAAGACTAACTGAGATATTTCAGTATCGAAGTCGGAATAGCAGGGCATTCAGGTCTTCACAGAGTTTGTCCCAGGTAGGTGCCCCATGAGCTGTGCCGTCTATGTAAGAGCTTCGCCCCAGGACTGGTCCCATCTGCGTTGGGGTCGGAATGTTTCGCCTGAATGCAGTCGCCTCCTTCATCAACTCGGGGAGTCTGAAACCACGTTCGCTTTGAGGGTTTTCAATCGTCGGTCCTGTGTCTGGGACACTCAACTCCAGAAATTCCAGGACATCTCGGTCGACCTTAGCCTCCTCCTCAGGTGGGAGCCGCACGAATCCCCATAGACAGTTGTTGATCACAATCTGGTACACTAGCGGCGCGTTCTTGAGTCCAAAAGGCATCCGGATCCACTGGAAATGTCCGAATGTGCAGACAAAGGCCGAAATCAATTTCGCCCGTTCTGTCATCTGAATCGCCCAGAAACCACTCGCCATATCCAAACTCATGAACCATGCCGCAGCGTTAGAGTCAGTCAGCAAGTCGTCAATCAGAGGTAGAGGGTATCGCGATAGCTTGATCAACTGGTTAACCAGCCTATAATCAACACACATCCTGATATCCTCCCCATTCTTCTTCAAAATGATCACGATCGGGGATGACCACTCCGATTCAGAATGTTCAATGAGTCCAGTCTCTAGGAGCTTCTTCAACAGTTCGTAAACCTTCACCAGATATCTGGAGGCGATCTGTCGAGCACGCAACGCTATCGACATCGCATCACCTACAAACGACTCCACTAGCTGGGGCCGGGGCGGTATTGCCATCACCTAAAAAGATACGACGATGATAATTCAAGATCTTTCGCATCTTGTCCTCCATCTCTGGGGTCGTGTGACACGAAGTGATTTGGAATTTCTCATGGAAACAGGAATTTGTA